GTAAAAATGATGGTTTCATGCATAAAGCAAAGATTTGATTGATAATTAATGTTTAATCGATGTCTAATCAATGTTTAGTCAAGTGGGGTATTCAAAACATAGTGATGTATGTTTGGATTTTAATGCATTGATAGTTTTGGTGTAGCAGTGTGTAATTCTGATGGTTTAGTTAGATGTGATGATGGGATTTATTGTATTTCGATCAGATGTGAGATTCCTGTATTTTTATTAGCCATTAGAATGATACATTTTTTCAAGAAAAGAGCAGATAATGCTGAATCACAGTGAGGTGGAGGCCAGTTACAGGCAGTGTACTGAGCTTTGACGGTAAAAGATATGCAATAGTTCTGAAAAAGGACTTTGCACGCCAAATAAGGTAATGACTGGAAAATGTGGCATCTGGTTGGATGAAAGCCTACGTGACAAAAAGCCTATAAAAACCATGGCAAAAAGAGGGACGAGAGACTCTTTCACAGTTGCTGCTGGAGGCTCTGCTAAGCTACGTTGCTTTATCCAGGGGTTAGCATATCGTGGCCTTCAAACAAGCCCACTATAGGTCCTGATCTGGTAAACACTGAGGACCTGTCTGTTGCTTCGTTTGTTCCCTCTTGATGATTTACAGAAGCAAAAATTATGTCAGATTGATGACATTCAGTAGACACACACCCAGAATCTCATGGTTCCACTCCCCCATCCTCAAAAGGGACTCTAATAAACCATAAGTGCCTCTGAAATATTAACTAGATGCTGCGAGCAAAATCCCTGTAGATCTACAGGGCCTGCCAGCTTCAATCTAGCCCAAAACAAACAGCACTCCCCTTCCTCATCTCCTCATGCCTCACCTCCCTCTCCTGCCGTCCATCACTGATTCATACTTACAGATGGTTTGGGCCAAACCGCTGACCACAGGAAGTTAGGGCTCGGCCCCAGATCTTCTAGCGCAGCATCGATCTGAAACATCAGACTGTAACTGTTGTCTGGGCTGAAGTCACGACCCTGCAGCCCCCACTGGATGCATTTTAATCAACATATATTTGTGATTCAGATTTTTTTCACTGTAATTCATCCAGTGGAAAGTGCAGCTCCTCCAGAAGATTGCTAACACCATTCTTTACATTTAAACTGTGCCTGTTACTTGTTTTATTATCATTATAGCACTGGAAGCGGCGACAGTCACGACCACTGGACGCTGATGACCATGATCTTGTCCTAAATGCTGGCCAAGTGCTGGATATTGACACATCAGAACCTGAACAACTGCCTGTAGAGAAGACTTCTGGCAACCCATCTGTCTCTCCTTTCATCCTTAACCATAGCTGTCCTCTTTCTCACCTCTCTTTCTCTCTGCTGATCATCTATTGATTTCCCATTACAAGCGGAATACAGACATTGATCGCACACCTTCTGCTCACCCTGAGGGTATTAGTAAGAGTATGATATCAAGCACACTCTGAGACATAGACACACACACACACACACACACTCTAACATAGAGGAGTTGTTGCTATGTGTTGGCGACACTTCTCACAGTAGTAGGTGCATGTCACAGGCCAAGGCCATTCAAAGCTATAAAGTTAAATCATCAAATCTTCCCACCTCAAGCTGCATCCAATAACAAATAACCAAATAAAAGTGAGAAAATAAAAGGCACAAAAGCTGAAGAAATGGCTCTTTCTGACTGAATGCGTTTTTATGGTGTGTGTGTACTGTCTGTATGTGATTCTGCCTGTTTTGATGTTTAACTCTGGCGTGTAAAATAATCCTCCTCAGGCTAGAGGAGGAGGAGGAGAATGAGAATGAAAGAACAAATGAAGCAACGTGATAAATCAAGAAAGAGAGGGAGAAACATGAGGTGAAAGGGGGAAAAGAGTGAGAAACAGAAACAGACAAATGGAGAGAAGGAGGGAGAATCATCTCCACCTTACTCCCCCTTCCGCAGCTCCTGGTATATCACTAGGTAGGCATCCTGGGGCTTGGTGATGGCAGATTGCATTAGAGATATGGGCCTGATATTTCATCTAGCCTTTATTACATTTAGTTCACATCAATCAGCTGGCAGCCTGTAGGTAAGAGCTATTTGGCACGCGGCCGGACTGCCCCTGAAATGAAATCCTGAATTAAAGTGCCACCTCAGACATGGAGCGCCTGCATAAGGCTGCGGATTTGATTGCTGCAGTAGAGCCACGGTTTGGCTCTGTTACATTGGAGTACTGACTGTTTGAACCCGCTGGGGGAAAATCACCAGCTGGCCAGGGATATTAGCCAGAGTTCAGACCCCTTGTCTGGGCTGACCAAGCATTTTTCTCAGTTTTATAAGGGCCTAAAGTGCCCAAGGGGGATATGATGAACACTCTTACACTGACAGGTTGCATGCTTAAGTGTGTATATGCATGTGTTTTTAGCAACATGTCAATTTCCAATCATTATGTTATCATCTGTATTTCTTTCTTGTTGTTGCCTTCATCAGTAGTCTCAACCACACAGCTCTGCGTCCTGCAGGTAACACACAGCTCGGGCTTTCTCTGCTGTCTCTGTAATCCCAGCTGTCACGCAGATTTTCAACCCTGACCGAGACGGTGAGCCCTCCGCCTCCTCACCCCCTCCGGCTCCCACCGCCCTAACCTCACGGAGGACCGTGAAAACATGCAAAAAAATCTACTCTTGCTCACTCACTCACACTGCCATGCCTAATCATACAGGCCAAAAAGGAAACAACCCATAAGAGTGCTACAGGGCTTGGATCAATCCAGCTAAAAAGCATAACAGAGGACAGAGAGAGCAGTAATATCGAGCTGTACTTTGGCTTTTTCCACTTATTTCTGCTGCTATTTCTGTGCCCCAAAGGGAAACGCTTCCTCCATGAAACACAGAAGGGCAAACACATTAGTGTTTGAGGTTATGCATAAATAAATGTTGACGTGATCCTTTATTTCTCTAATGGGCCTTTAAAATGGGGGTTATTTCTCACACACTGGATGGACAGAGAGAGACAGAGGCAGAGCGGCTAGTTTTACAAACTGATGTTTGCTTACATGCATTCAGGGTTACTCACACGTAGACGTCTGGTCCCACCCACGCTTACTAACTCCTTTTCTTACACACACCACACACACACACACATACGGGATGAAGGAGATTGAGTGGGAGTGTATGTTAGAGGGCAGGCCCAGGCCTCAAACCCTCCAGGCGAACGTAAAAAAAAAAGTCCTAATAAAACCCTCTGTGCAGAGAAGAAACAAGAAGGGTTTTCAGTTTTCTCCTGCTCCTCCCTCAGCCTTCTACTGCCCAGCATGCCTTGGGCTGTAAGAAACTGCTTGACACACTGCTTGCCAACAGCTGAGCCATTCCTCTCTCCTGTACCACCACTGGTGTGCTATAGTGTTAACACACTGAGTCTGGTTTCAAGCATTATTACTGAGAAACATAATGCAATGGAGATAATTATGCAACATTATGCCATTGAGAAAAAGCAACAGAAACCTGGAGACACAAAGCCGAGACATCAAAATAACATTTCCGGTTCACTGCGATGTGACACAACTCTGTGAATAGAACAATTATTACAAAAGCCTCTCACCAAAGCAGTCGCTGACGTCCTCATGAAAGTTACATTTTTCTCCTGGCCAGACAAAACATTTCATCTGTGAACAATGCAAAATCTCCCATCTGGATTATTAATTCTTCATTTTACAAAAAGAATGGAGAGCTGGAGCAAGAGAAGGAGATATAAATGATTGCAATTGCAGAGGATGCAGTGATAAATCACTTTAAACAGACCAAATGGGTGATTTGTGCAACATTTTCCCTGACTCGCTTGTGTATTAAACAGCGGAGACCATGACTTCTTTGTCCTTCCTCTGAGGTCAAAGACAATGGAAGACCATATGATTCAGATTATTCATGTCTCTGAGAAAGGAAACTGACCAATGCAGTCATACCCATACAAACAGCTGGGCCTCATTCTCTTCTTCTTCTTCCCTTCCCTGTTTGTTCTCTATCGCTACCTGTTTTCCCTAAGAACTTCTAATTACACCCTGAATCTTTTCTTTCGTCCTATCTGGTCTGTCTCCCCCTCCCCCTGTACTATCTGCCCTCTGTGCCCAAACTCAGGCAAAGATTTTTAAACACAGTCTGGCATTTGATTATCAGATGGAATGGGATTACAGCTGGACAGTCTGATAATGTCAGGTAGATTCTTAAACTCAGACACAAAAATGATTGTCCAAGCTTTTGATTGTGCTGGATTATGTTGGTCTTCAGCATGTAAAAAACTTCAAGCATCTGGTTTGAAGCAGGCTAAAACTAAAGCACCTTTAGGCAAACAATGTATTTTTTGTCCAACATCACCCATTTAACAAGGAGTAACACATGACTCATTCTTTCCACTCAGTTTTTACTGCGACCTGCTGTGCTCGAATGTGTTCACTATCATGTGGATGAGAACAAAAACCCATATTGTGGAAATGAGCCAGAGGTTATGTGCAGCTGATGTGCCCTTGAGCAAGGAATTTAACCCAGTAATTGCTCCGGAGAAGCCTTTAAAAGGCTGATACTAAAGGTCTGCGGTTGTCCTGGTCAGCATTCAGGACATAATGTGTGTAATCCACTGAATGTGAAAAGGACACTGCTGATGTGCTTGTAGTTCTATCAATAAATAATTATTTCACAAACAAAAAACCACAGTCCATTTAATGGTCTGCATTTCACAGAAAGCTTGCATCTACAATTAAAATTTCCTTTGCGAACGACCTGTTGTGGTCAAAATGTGGAAAAATGGTTCAGCTCCCTGGGATCAAGCCAAACCATTGATAGTGAATTATAACCGTATGTAAAAATCACTGCTTTAACAGGAAGTTAACAACTTTTGCAGCATACTAATAAAGAAATGTTCCCACAAATCATCAGGCAGCCAGAATCTTACTACTTACTTATTAGTCAAAGCAGTATTGCTCTGGTTGAAAAGATTTCCCTATTATGACATGATCCCCTCTGTGTCTTACTTGCAATCCAGCCTCTCGATCTCAAAGTGTGGGTTGAAGTTGAGGACGATGCGCTGGGAGGGCTCCGGCGCCGTGATGATCCAGTGACAGTTCTGGTGAGGTGGGTACTCCAGAGGATAACCAGGGGAAGTGATGTAACCTGCCTCGCTGGCATCTAAGTTACCCCCACACTCTGACACTGTGATAGAGACAGAAGGGTGGGAGATAAAACAGATTGTAAAACAGACAAACTACAGAAACTATCCAGTAAATGACATGTGTTTGAATTTTAAACATAGTTGTGATGCATTTCTCAGTAAATGACATGTTCAAATTTTAAACATAGTTGTGATGCATTTCTACATTTGTAATTTGCATGGCAGGGAAACATCAAACCACAGAAATTCCCATTTAGAGCAGTGACTCAGTGACTTCATTTACCTCGTTTCTCTGTATGAAGATGTGATGAGCAACAAATGAACAGTAAGACAAAGAAAGCAATTTAGGCTGTCAGTTAGGATAAAACTGGAAAAACTTCTCAATTGTGGATTCTCAATGTGGAGCACCAGGGCAAGCTATTAAAACAATAAAAGATCATCACTGCCGCATTTGGCAAGCACACATATAGACACACACATGCACGTAAGCAGAGAGATGCACAGTGGCTTTTTCACCCTCTTCCACACCCAGGCTCTTATCGCTCTAGTTGCCCGTTGGGAGTGTTGTCTAAGTGTAATTGTTGCTCTGGCAAGCCAATCTGCAAACATAAGGACACATTCCCTGATCCTATCACGCTCTCCCAGGAACAATAGCCTTCCAATGGCGTTGCTCTGAAGGCTTAGACAGGAAGTGACACACAGACGGCCTGTCTAGCGGGGTTCTGGGGGTCACCCCGACTCTGTAATGAGAAGCTAAGAAGGCAACAAAGGCCCTATTCTCTGCTTATGCCCTGACAGCTACGGCAGCTCTCATGCTTTGCGTTATCTCCCATAAACACACAAACTCACATGCACATACAAAAGGAACATGTATATGGGTATTCGGCAAGCACACACATCTCATATACGCACACATCCTTGTGCACAATGGTTCTTTTATTACTCTTGCATTGCAATAGATTTGCAGACATTATTATTCTTTACAGAGAGGCATAGGTGAAATGCATTCTCCATGACAACAGTGGGGGAGAGTTTAGCTCCTCCAAACATTATGTGTGCATGTGTGTGTGTGCATGGTTACTGATGCATCAGTGGGATATCTACATGTAATAAATGCTATGATACTGAGCTCACAGAGGAAATGTTTTCCTGTTGCTGTAGCTGCTGTTCATTGCCCAAATAAAGAACACTTTGCTATACAAGACTAACTACAATGCACATTATACTGCCATTAAACATGCACTAACAACATGTGGCTTAACTACTCAGCCCCTAAGCTGAGCCTATTCTTGACATAAATGGGTTTATATTCGTTCCTGTTTCTTTAAAGTTTCTGTGAAAGCATCAATGAAGGAGGCAGCAAGAAAATGAAAAAGGCATCAAAGGTTTGAAGTGTAATAGACCCTTCAAGTGTTGACATTTCCACCGCCTATTGTGCTTAAAAGGGACACTTAAGAATCTTTGACATTTGATAGAGCTGCAATGGCTGTCTCACTTTGTTACTGGAGAGGAGCAACACCTATATTCACACACACAGCTACCGGCGATTTCATGTGAGTGCACAACTCCAGCCGCCCACATGCATACACACAAATACAAGTTGTTACACAAATGTACAGCACAAACACAAGTGCAGCGACATATGCACATATGAAGGCAGTCACTCGTAGGGTAGGGCTGGTGATCCTGGAAAAACCGGTAAGCTCAATTTTGAAAGTAGACAACTGAGGAAATCCCACCCTTTTGTTCTGACTTCTCTCTAAAGCCACTCCTCCAAAACACAATGTGCAATGCAACACGTGCTCCCCGACTACAACTTACATTAACAAATTCCCTCCAACAAAACAAAACCAATAACTACCTGTCCAGCAGAAATACGGCCACCATGGCCTCACATTTCTGCCCCTTTTATTCTCTCAGTTGTCACCAACCTTCCAGTGTTAACTCTGGAAGGTTGGTGGTTTGATCCCAATTCTCCCTAGTCCACATATCAAAGTGTCCTTGAGCAAGACACTGAACCCCAAGTTGCTCCCATGGCCAGGACATCGTCGCCAACAGTGTGTGTGACTTAGCACTGCAGATGACTGACTTGGTTCTGTACCAGAGACAAACTCCTCGTGTGTATAACATATGGCCATACGTCTTAAAGGGGGGTGCCTGGCCACAGTGGGTACCTCCTCTGCCATAGCTCGCTAGCTTTAGCTGTAACACATCTGCCTGCAACTGCAGTGCCTTGTGGGAGACTGTTGGCTTGCACATTGAGAGCAGAGTCTGTGCCAGTAGGAAGTAGGTTGACAGGCAGGTAGGCCATCCAATGGTTTTGCTTGGGAAGAGTAAAATCATTGATCAGGCATCTTACAGCCCTGCTGCTGCCACAGATGTCAGTTCTTTTTCTTTATTGCACTGGTTAATATATTTTCTAAAGTTGTTGAAGAAATTCTCTTGAGTAGGTTTCATAATCTTATTGGCTCTACTGATAATCAATTTGGGTTTAAAGCCAATCATGACACTGATATGTGTATTTTTGCTTTGAAAGAACTAGTTAGTAAATATAAAAGTAAAAATTCGACCATATTTATGTGTTTTTTAGACGCTTCTAAAGCTTTTGATTGTGTGAATCATAGGAAGTTATTCCAGAAACTGTGTGACACTCGAGTGCCTAAATATATTGTAAGATGCTTGTCATATTGGTATGCTCACCAGACTATGTGTGTCAGATGGGATAATTGTATATCTGCACCCTTTCAGACCTGTAACGGGGTAAGGCAAGGTAGCCTGTTGTCCCCGATTTTGTTTAATTTTTATATGAATGGTCTCTCTGAGGAGCTAAATATGTGTAGAACGGGATGTATGGTTGGAGATACAATAGTGAATCATTTAATGTATGCAGATGATCTGGTGATCTCTAGTCCCAGCTCGGCAGGTCTTCAGCAACTCTTGAATGTATGTTCTCTGTTTGGGGAGCTTCACGATGTCATCTGTGCCAGTAGGAAGTAGGTTGACAGGCAGGTAGGCCATCCAATGGTTTTGCTTGGGAAGAGTAAAATCATTGATCAGGCATCTTACAGCCCTGCTGCTGCCACAGATGTCAGTTCTTTTTCTTTATTGCACTGGTTAATATATTTTCTAAAGTTGTTGAAGAAATTCTCTTGAGTAGGTTTCATAATCTTATTGGCTCTACTGATAATCAATTTGGGTTTAAAGCCAATCATGACACTGATATGTGTATTTTTGCTTTGAAAGAACTAGTTAGTAAATATAAAAGTAAAAATTCGACCATATTTATGTGTTTTTTAGACGCTTCTAAAGCTTTTGATTGTGTGAATCATAGGAAGTTATTCCAGAAACTGTGTGACACTCGAGTGCCTAAATATATTGTAAGATGCTTGTCATATTGGTATGCTCACCAGACTATGTGTGTCAGATGGGGTAATTGTATATCTGCACCCTTTCAGACCTGTAACGGGGTAAGGCAAGGTAGCCTGTTGTCCCCGATTTTGTTTAATTTTTATATGAATGGTCTCTCTGAGGAGCTAAATATGTGTAGAACGGGATGTATGGTTGGAGATACAATAGTGAATCATTTAATGTATGCAGATGATCTGGTGATCTCTAGTCCCAGCTCGGCAGGTCTTCAGCAACTCTTGAATGTATGTTCTCTGTTTGGGGAGCTTCACGATGTCAAGTACAATTCTGATGAAAGTGTTATTATGATATGCTGCACAAAAGAGGACAGGTCCCTTGTATTCCCTTCTTTTAATTTATCTGGTAACATTTTAACTGTGTGTAATAAAGTTAAGTACTTGGGTCATGTTATAAATGATTGTTTGTCTGATGACGGGGATATGTATCGTCAGTGTTGTATCACAAGCAAATGTGTTGGTTGGGAAATTTGGCTCGTGTTCGGATGGAGTAAAATTGACTTTGTTTAGAGCGAATTGTACCTCCCTGTACACTGCACATCTATGGTCTAATTATAAAAAAGACAGTCTTAGGAAACTGACAGTGGCCTATAATGACGCCTTGAGGTTATTATTGAAAAGGCCTAGATGGATGAGTGCCAGTGAATTGTTTGTGTCATCTCCGATCAGTACACTATCTGCTGTTTTAAGAAATTGAATGTATAAATTTATTTGTCGTTTGAATAGTTCTGGAAACAACATTGTTTTATTGCTGACTAATATTGCATATAGTGACATGCCATATACTTCAGTACTTTGACAACACTGGTATACCTGCCTTTTAAAAAGGTAGTTGTTTATTGGTTGTTCTTGTTGTTGTCTTTTTATTGTTATTTATTGCTGATTGTTTCATGGTTTTATTGTTTTTTTAGCATTTATATATCTGGACCTAGAGTCTGTAATAAAGTATCTATCTATCTATATGTGGTCAGTGCATTTAATGTATTCATTGCCATAAGGATGAAAAGAGAAATTCAAGAAATGTAACAAAAAGTGCTTCTGAAAGGAATCACCAACCCTACCTTTAATACACACCTCGCGCACACACACACACACACACAACCGCTGCTCCATGTTCAAACAACCTCCCACACATGCATGTATCCAAATAAACAGCGAGGCTGTCAATCACAAGGGCCAACAGAGGGGGTAAAAATAGTTAACTGAAAATGTTCAAAAAGGTAGTGGGGAAGGCAAAGAATGACAGAGATAGAAAGTCTCACACACACAGACACACACACGCACACAGACATCTCTTTATCTACTGCGGCTGTGCAGACAGACCGGCATTGTTGGGAAGCCTATGGAGGGAGCGGTGTGCAAGAGGCTATCAGCACGCAGAGCCTCAGCAGATTAAGCCATTTGGGGGAGAATCCTGCAGCCTCGACACTTTTTCCCTGAGCTGTCCATTCAATGGCCTCCAAAGAGGATGAAGAGGTGGGGTGAAGAAGGGGAGAAGAGAGCAGAGGAGGAGTGGGAAGAGAAGAGGAAAAGGATCAGACCAGGAAGGAAAATGGAAGAGGTGAAGGAGAGGAAGGGAAAGGGGATGAAAGCAAAGAAAAGAGTTGAAGAAGTGGAGA